CTTCAGTGTAATGGAAAAAACATATCTTAAGACCTTTGATTGTGAATATATTTGGAAGTCCACATGACTTTTTGGATTATAGCTGAAATTCCAATAAATTTAGTGATTTATTTCTGCCATTAAAAAGAAGGTTTCTTTGGTGCAGGTTTAGAGTGGCATGGTAGTAGAAGTCAGATCATGGATATTTTAGGCAGTAGGAAGGGAGGATAAACCCATTCTCTCGGTGACTGAATATTAGAGCGTTTCTTGGTTTGAAAGTCATTGTATTTGTGTTCAGTACTCATAAGGTCTTTTATTTCTCATAAATGGTTTGCCAAGCAAGATGGATCCAGTCTTTGCCCTCTGAGTCTATGATCTGGTTAGGGAGACAAACCAGACATTCCATAGGAATAGGTATGTTAGGTGATACCTGAATGGTGAGTAGAAGTTGGTGGAAGGATATAAGTGGAAAAGGATTATTGGGATGAGCTGTGTCATGTGAAGAGATCCTGAACTATAATCTAGTATTTTCCTAGTAGATCTTGGACTGTAATTGATCCAGTTTAATGTGCTGTTGAAATTGATTCTGCAGTATATTGTTCTTATTTGAGAATCTGTTGTTTACTCACAAGAGAGCTTTGGCTGTAAGTTTCCTGGGTGAATCTGAGGAGTACAGTTACGGCTTTTCTGGCATCAGAATAATTGAGGTTCTAAAACCGTAATCAATTAATGATGTTTCCATAAGTGTAGGCAGTTATAGCATCCCTGTTTAGGGACTTAGTATGATCTGTCAGTACCACACATTCAGAATATGTACAGTTAGTATAATGTTTTATTTATTTATTTTTTTTTAAGATTTTTTTTTATTCATTTGAGACACAGAGATACAGGGAGAGAGAGAGAGAGAGAGCATGAGCAGGGGGAGAGGCAGAGGGAGAGGGAGAAGCAGGCTCCCCACTGAGTCAGGAGCCCTATGTGGGGCTCGATCCCAGGACCCTGGGATGATCACCTGAGCCGAAGGCAGACGTCTAACCATATATTTTTAAAAGCAAGCCCATGTGGTTTTACCCTGATGTATTAAAAGGAGAGTTCTGTTTAGAAGTTTACTTTCAAATATTCATAGTTAATACGCCTTTATGTCAACTTGTTACATCTCTAACCTCCTAAAGATGGTTGTTGTGGAGAAGAAGAGGTGGCACAAGCTTTTTGTACCCCTTTACCTGGTTTCTTTTTTTTGTTGTTTTTTTGGTGTCTGTACCACAAGAGCATTTCTCTTGTGTCCTTTCCATCTTCTCTTTCATACCTTCTTCTTTTTTTTTTCAGTTGAGCATTTGTTCATTTATTCTTTTCTTTTTTTAAATTTTATTATGTTAATCACCATACATTACATCATTAGTTTTGATGTAGTGTTCCATGATTCATTGTTTGCACATTACACCCAGTGCTCCATTCAATATGTGCCCTCCTTAATACCCATCACCGGGCTAACCCATCCCCCCCCCCCACTCTAAAACCCTCAGTTTGTTTCTCAGAGTCCATAGTCTCTCATGGTTCATCTCCCCTTCCAATTCCCCCCCTTCATTTTTCCCTTCCTGCTTTTTTTTTTTTTTTTAACATATAATGTATTATTTGTTTCAGAGGTACAGGTCTGTTATTCAACAGTCTTACACAATTCACAGCGCTCACCATAGCACATACCCTCCCCAATGTCTTTCATACCTTCTTGACCAATAGGTCTCTGGGAAGTCATGTTCTTCCTAACCAAGAGCCCCAAATTTGCATATCTTTATCCATGATTCAAAAAAATAAATGCTTTCCTTAGCATCTTTGTAGCCACCACATCTTCATTTGTTCATATCTTAATTTATCTTTCAAAGCTTCAGCTGATTATCAAAGGAGATGTGAATGTCTTACCTGTGCTGTGAAGTTTGTTTACTGATCAGACTTTCATTCAAAAGTATCTGTTTTGTCCCTTTATGTTAGGTACTGTACCAAGAATTGAAAGTTTGCAAGACACGGTCCCTAACTCACTCATCTCTAATAGTGATTTTTTTTTTTAAGATTTTATTTATTTATTAGAGAGAGAGCGAGAGAGGGAACACAAGCAGGGGGAGTGGGGGAGGGAGAAGCAGGCCTCCTGCTGAGCAGGGAGCCCGATGCAGGGCTCGATCCCAAGACCCTGGGATCATGACCTGAGCCGAAGACAGACGCTTAATGACTGAGCCACCCAGGCGCCCCTCTAATGATGATTTTAATATTTTTTCTTGTAGTGTCCTTTGTTCTTACATGGGTTATCAGTAATTACTAACACTGGATAGGCTTGGATTAGTCTAGTTCTTTTCATCATTACTTCCTCAGGAAAACAGTATTTTCAGGAAGAAGGTATATTTCTGAAATTTTATTTTATATAGAGATTTGTCAAATATTGTTGATACTCATATCAGCTGTTCTGTTCAAAGAGTCACCAAATAATGTTAAATTCTTATAGTACTTCTGAATGTTTGTTGGAAAATTAAGCTGCTTCTCCAGCTTTGATTTCACCTCCATGGGAAGAACTTTTTACCTGATGTATGGAACCAGTGTTCCTCTTCATCTTCTTCCTCCCCATTTATTCTTGTACTCACTAGTACGTTCACTTGGATTTCAGTTTTAGTACTGCCACCTTCAGAATTTTCCTTTGCTGGTTTCTTTCTTTCATCCTAATTTGGGGTTCATTTTCTTTAGCATGTTACAGCAAAGGTTTTGAGCCCTTTTGCCCTGCTCTGAAGCAGGGCGTTAGTGTCTGCTTAGTAAGAACACGTGTGAGGTGAATTTGAAGTAATGGCTAAATAGCTAAGGAGTAGCTATTTAGTAGCACCTTGTCAGTTGAAAGTATAAAGGAATGAGTGAAAGAAGTGGATTTCAGAGACATTTGTATTCATAGTGTTGGTTGGAGTCATGTAAGAATAGCAAGCAAGGTTAAAAATGAGGTTAGGAGGAACACACTCACATTTAGGAAACAATAACCAACAAAGAAGAAAGAGAAAGGTATAGTTAGGAACATGTAGGAGATAAAGAATTACAAAGGCATGAAAACCAAATGGCAGAATGTTAAGAAAAAAAATTTTTTATTTTTTTAAAATAATCCGTGCCCAATGTGGGGCTTAAACTCATGACCCCAAGATCAAGAGTTGTATGCTCCACTGACTAAGCCAGCCAGGTGCCCCAAGAAAAAATTGTTTTTAAATCATTAAAATGATATAATAGAGGACAGTTTTAATATAAACAGATCATTGGAAATGCTGAGATGAAAAGTTTAAGCATAACAGGGTTGTTTCCGTTATCTCTTGTTGTGTTAAAAAACAAAAACCCCTAAAACTTAGAGGGTTAATATAAGCACTTATTTATGAATCTGCAGTTTGAGTTGTGTTCAGCTGCATGGTTTTATTGGTCTTTTAGGATATTATTAAATAGTCCAGCCCTGTTTTTTATGGGTAAGAATCTGTAGTTAAATGTGGTAATTCCTGCAATGTCTCTGAAATTTGTCATTGAAATCAATAAACAGCACCAGCGGTGTGTTGGTGAACTGACTCTTCAGGGGCACAGCACATGATCTGTGGCATTTGCCATGGAGGGAATACTACCGTAATGATTGAGCTCAGGTTTTACTGATGTGGAGTCCCTGAACTTGGAGTTTGGAAGAGATGTGGACAGGCCACTCTCATCAGCTATTATGAGCCATCCCCAGATTCCAGACACTCTTGTAAAATACCAGTGTTCTCATTTCTTGATCTACAAAGAATGGGAGACAAGTTACAAAATAAACACGTAATAAAACAGGATTAAGTAAATGGGTGAAGAATTTTTTGTGAAAGAAATAAACGCGAAAATAAAAGAATAAATGCCAGTGTGAAAGCTCTGAACAGTTGCTGAGATCAATAAGGATTTGGCTAAAACAAAGAGATGAAGTATTCAGTAATAGATAAAAACAGATCAGCTGCTCAGGAGGAACAAAAATTTTCCTGATAACAGAGAGATCAGTTATGCAGGGGAGAAGGATATTGCATCTTTAACAACATTCTTACGGAAGTAGGATGATAATATTTGCATATTTCTTGAAATATATTTTTTAATGCAGGGTGGGTGCTAACAGTGCCAAAACAGTTCTCGAGGGGGAAAAAGTAGAATTGGCAATTTGGGATCTATAATAGAAAAATTTGAAGTGTTAAGGAGTTTTCATCCTATTGGAAAGATACCTATTATTATATTTAGTCTACTTAAAAAGTTAAGTACACCTGTATCACTGAGTTTGCAGGTAAGGAAGCTAACAAAATATTCACAAGATTGTAAATATGGGATAATTAGGGATTCTAGCAAGACAGTAGTTGTGGATTTGTTTATAAAGAAAATCCTTATATGAGAGAGTTTGTATAAAAAGAAGTAGCAGGATTTATTAATGGGCTACTTTTGAGAGCAAGTCAGAATGACTCCTTGCAGATAGCTACTGTAAGCTTAGGGAACGGATATGATACACCATGAAAACTTTACCAGTATTCTTTTTGATTTCTAGTGGTGATTCATCTTTCTCTCTTGACTGTGTGTGTGTTGTGTGTGTGTGTGTGTGTGTGTGTGTGTGTGATTCTTGAACCAGTCCTTTGCCAACCTCATGAAGATTGGAATAGGTGCTTAAAGTGATGAGTAAGACCTGATCCTTATTTTCAATTTTTGGTGTCTTATTATATAATCCTTTTCTCATTCCTTTCTGCTCATGTTATCTATGGTTAGCCTAATCTTAACACTTCATTGTTGTTGGACCCAGTTAGCTTCTAATCTTAAAAAACAGAAATTTTCTCCTGTTCTGTTACTACTCTTTAGTGTTGGTTGCTCAGGCATCCCAATTTGAAGGCAGGGTAGGAAAGAATTTAGGGTCACCAGCAAATGCTCAGAAGTTCCTGTTCTCATCACTCCTACTTCTGGGTTCTCTTGTCATTCCTGGGCACAGAGGTGCTGGTGTTAATTCCTCCTTGCCCACCTTTCCCTAGAGTCCATCCGTGCTGGTGCCTCCTACAAACGGCAGAATGAAGGAAATCCAGAAAGAGGTGAGTTTTGAGTTAGATTTTGATTTGGGATTGTGAAAGGGTGGGGGACTTGAATTGATAGAGGTTACAGAAATGGGAAAAGTGTATAACTGCCCAATTAGTCTTTAGTTGGAACTAGAGTTTAATGGTAGTAGATACAGATAGTAGGATTGTGAATTGCTTGTCTGGTCAGGAATAGCCACCTCAAAGGAGATTGAGATTTGTAGAATAAACAAATCATTGACAGGACCGGACAACAGTAAGATCAGGGTATTTCTTTTCACCTTTTCTGTGGTCTTTCCGCTGCCATCTGTAGCATCCTTTTTCTTTATCCTTTGCTTCTTGCCTGTCCCTGCCCTTCATGCAACAGGTATATATGAATATATGTGGATATATGATATACCACCTGCTCTATCCTTCAGGATTCTTTTGCTTCTGCACACTGAGAAATCTGCTTAAATTAGCCCTAATGCAGCTAAAATCAGGAAAGATCCTAAGACTACAGGAAAGATCCTATTATACTTGACAATACCTGTAGTGCTGATGTGTTTGTAAGATTTTGCTAAGTAAGAGATTAACAGCTGCTTGTTCTGTGTCTAGCTGCTATGTGTCAGAATTGAGCCTATAATTATGCCTTTAATTAGCATAGTTTGATGTGCTGATTGGTTGAGCTCCTCACCTTCTTTCAAGGAATTGCTTATCTGAATAGAATGGGGAGGTCACTGTATCCTAAAGGTAGAAAAATAATTTATCTTTTCACCTAATTTTTGAGTATTTATTCTTTTCTTAAAGGACTTGAGCAGGGTAGGCCCTGGGTATTCAGAAATAAGCTATGATACTTGCACCTCTAGGAGCTTCTGGTGCAGTGGAATAGACTGACACTGTCACAGTATGATGAAGAATTTGCCATATGTAATAGAAATAAAGTGGGAATGATGAAATCATGTTCTTAGTCATTTTGGGATGTAGTGTTGGTTGGTATCTTTTGATTTTTAAGGTCTACAAGAACTTTTAAACCACTTAGTGTGAAAGGCTCTTAATGCCACAAGTTAAAAGATTCTAGGGTTATGATTTTTTATGAGACTGTTGGAGTTTCCGAGGTAGAATACTGTGCCTAGAGCAGGAGTTCTTATCCCTGGTACTGTTGACAGTTGAGGTTAGATAATTCTTTGTTGTGGGAGGCTGTCCTGTGCATTTGTAGGGTGTTTTAGCAGCATCCCTAGCCTCGACTTACTGTGTGCCAAGGGCACTCTCCCACTTGTGACAATGGAAAATATCTTCACACATTACCCACTATCCCTCGGGAGGTGGTGAGGGGAGCGTCTCCAGAAAGGCTTTCCAGGGCTGCAGGACATTGGATAGAGCTGATATTCACTACTGCCCTACGTGGTCAGGAACCTTGAGGCTCTAGGCTCCTACTTGGCAGTCTTGACCATAGCAGGAAGAGCTTAAGAGGCTTTTTGACTGAAGCTGGTTTTGCTTCAGTTTCAAGGTCGTTTGTGTCTGCTTTTGCCCTTGACTGCTTTCTTGGCTGTAACTGACTGGCTAGTCTTGACCAGCTTCTGTGTCAATCCAAACTTGGTGCCACCTTCTCCTTTTCTCTGTAATTTAATTTTGTCAGGTTTTTGTTTTTTTGATTTTTGTTTTTGTTTTTTAGCAATTAAGAGCAGAGAATTTATATTTGACACATACAGATAATTTAATGAAATATTTTTCTGTCAGTAATAGCTCACAGGTATTGTTATGATTATATTTAACTAAAACAGTATTCTATGTTGAACTGACTAATGTTTAAATCTATTTTCTGGCTTAAGTTTCTATAAAAACGGTGGTGTATATATATATAGCACTACATTAGTGTCTGTAGTGACTAAAGATAAAGGTTAGTGACTATCTCACACAGATTTATTTTTAACCATTTAACAAATGGGTACTTATTCATACCAGGCATTAGGATAGTGCTCTAAATTACAGTTTTCTAGTTTTTATTTTTATTTTTTAAACTAAATATTTCAGGAATATCTGCTAGATTTCCTACATGCCCCTCACTTTGAGCTATTATTTAATTAGCTAGTTTTCTTTGTGGTATTTATATAACTACTTTTTTATTGTTAATTTTTATTGATAAATTCAAAGTTAGCTTTTAGGAACTTGGAGGAGGAAGCATTTCTGATTTTAGTCTTTTCCCATTCTTGAGGTCTTCTCAGTCGTTCTGTGTTTGCTAACTAGCATTAATGTGGCCTGGATTGCCATATATGGTGTCCATTGGTACTAGGTTAGTTGAAAATTTTTATGGTACCTTGCCTCTGAGAGAGGTAGGTTTAGATATTAAAGGATTTAATTTAATAATGAAGACTTCAGTACTAAAATAAGTATATGACACCCCCCTCATTTATTTAATTACAAAATCACTCTAATTGGAAACAAATGAGCTAGAAAATTGCATTTTATATTTTCTTGTATAGGTAAAGAGAGACCTGTTCAGTCTTTGAAAACATCAAGAGACACTTCACCCTCAAGTTCTTCAGCAGTTCCTCCGTCAAAGGTTTGTTATATCTATAAAATTAATTTAAAGAGGAATTACAAAGTAAAGGAGGTGGTCTGTGTGGTACAGATGCTTTTATTCTTTACTGTTAAACCTAATGAGGGTAATTTGCTGCATTTAAAAACTTGAATCATGAGGTGCCTGGGTGGCTCAGTCGGTAAAGCATACAACTCACGATTTTAGCTCAGGTCATGATCTCATGGGTTGTGAGATCGAGCCCTGAGTAGGGCTCTGCGCTCAGGGGGGAGTCAGCTTGAAGATTCTCTCCCTCTGCCCCTCCCCCCCACTCATGCACGTGTGCTCTCTCTCAAATAAATAAATCTTTAAAAAAAACCAAGACTAGGGGAGGAGTCCAAGATGGCAGAAGAGTAGGAGTCCTTAGTTTTGTCTGGTCCCAGGAATTCAGCCAGATAGCTATCAAATCATTCTAAACACTTGCGAGCTCAACCAGAGATCTAAGAAAAGAATAGCTGCAACTCTACAAATAGAAAAGCAGCCGCTTTCTGCAAGGTAGAAGGAGCGGAGAAGTGACTCCGAGGTGATATATGGGGAGATAAACCACGGGGGGAAGGAGCCTCCATAAGCCAGCACCAGAAAGTGATAGAGCAGTGGAGCACAGAATCGAAACTTCTAGAAGTCTGCTCCAGTGAGAGATGTCCCTGCCTGAAAGGCACTAAGGTGGTGAAGCAGGACAGAGTTCTAGTGGGGACAGTGTGGTTTCAGGATGGCCAGGGTCATAATAAGACTGGGGGTGTCTGAGTGTGGCAGAGCTCCCAGGCATCAGAGCGGTGAAGCCCGCTGCAGTCAGTGAGCCCAGGAGTGGGCTCTCAGCTCTGAGTTGCCATAAACCATGAACTGTGGCACAGTCAGGTGACTGCTGTCCAAGCAGGGGCCCAGCGAGTAGCAGAACTGGCGAGAACCCTCTTCCTTCCCTGGGAGGAGTGGCATGGGTGGGCACTGCAGGAGTCTGCAAGCTTTGGAGACTCGAAACGGGGTCGCATGCCTGAGATAGAAACGCTAGGTCACAGGCCGGGTGAGCAAGGAGTGTGGACAGAATCCAGGGAGACAGGAGTGATTGACTGCTTTTCCCTGAGGCCTCACTGAGGAGTGGGGCTCCAAGCTTTTGGCTCTGGGGCCAGAGATTGGGAGGCTGCCATTTTCATTCTCATCCTCTAAAGCTGCACGGAAAGCCTTCAGGGAATAAAAGCTACATAGGGCAATCCAGAGCTACTTACTTAGTCTGGCCCCCTGTCAAGGGTGGTGCAGTTCCACCCTGGGCAAAGACACTTGAGGATCAGGGCAACAGGCCCCACCCCCAGAAGATCAGCAAGAATATCCGGCTAAGACCAAGTTTACTGATCACACAGAACTGCAAAACTCCAGCGCTAGGTGAAAATAGTATATAGAATTCATGGCTTTTTTCCCATGGTTCTTTAGTCTTTCAATTATATATATATTTTTCACTTTCCTTTTTCAACTCATTTCCTATTTTATCAACTCTTTTTTAGAAGTCTTTTTTAATTTTCATTTTCACAGTTACATTCTATCCTTTCATTGTCTTTAATTTTATTTTTGTCTATACATAAGTTTTTCTTTCTTTACAATTTTGGGATGCAGTTTATTCTAACAAACAGACCAAATGTCTGATCATACTCTTCCCTTTTTTCTTCTTCTTTTTTTTTTTCTGTTAAAATATTTAAAAATTTTCATCTTTACAGTGAAATTCTATTCTTTCAATGTGTTTAATTTTATTTTCGTGTGTGTGTGTGTGTATATATATATATATATGTTTTTCTTTACAATTTTGGGATGTACTTTTTTCTAACAAACAGACTAAAATACACCCAGGATATAGTGTATTGCTCTGTTCTGTTCACCTGTCTATGTTCCTTCTTCTTTTTTCTTTTTTGTTTTTTGTCTTTTAATTTTCATTTGTACAGTTACATTCTATTTTTCATTGTATTTAATTTTATTTTTATACATAGGTAAGTTTTTCTTTCTTTACAATTTTTGGATCTAGTTTTCTTTCTTTATTTATTTTTTAAGGTTTAATTTATTTGAGAGAGAGAGCACAGAGGAGAGGGAGAAGCAGGCTCCCTGCTGAGCAGGTAGCTCGACACAGGGCTTGATTCCAGGAGTCTGGGATCATGACCTGAGCCAAAGGCAGCTGCTTAACCAACTGAGCCACCCAGGTGCCCTGAGGGATCTAGTTTTCTAACAGAAATACACACAGGATCTAGTGTATTGCTCTGTTCTGTTCACCTGTCTGATTATATTCTCTCTCTTCCCTGCCTCCCCCCCCCCTCCATTTTGGGTCTCTTCTGAATTGTTTAGTATATATTTCTCTGGGGTTGTTGTTGCCATTTTAGTATTTTGTTCTCTCATTGATATATTCTTCTCTGGCAAGAATGATGACAGAAAAACTCACTCAAAAAAGAGAACAAGAGGCAGTACTGACTGCCAGGGACCTAATCAGTATGGATATAAGTAAGATGTTAGAACTAGAGTTCAGAATAATGATTATTAAGATACTAGCTGGGCTTGAGTAGAGCATAGAGAACACTAGAGAACCCCTTTCTAGAGAAATAAAAGAACTAAAATCTAATCAAGTCAAAATCAAAAAAGCTATTGAGATGCAACAAAAAGTGGAGGCTCTAACTACTAGGATAAATGAGGCAGAAGAGAGAATCAGTGATACAGAAGACCAAATGATGGAGAATAAAGAAGCTGAGAAAAAGAGAGGTAACAACTACGGGATCATGAGGGGAGAATTCGAGAGATAAGTGATGCCATAAAGCAAAACAATATTAGAATAATTGGGATCCCAGAAGAAGAGGAAAGAGAGAGAGAGGAGGGTGGGACAGAAGGTATATTGGAGCAAATTATAGCAGAGAACCTCCATAATATGGGGAAAGAAACAGGCATTCAAGTCCAGGAGGCACAGAGAAGCCCCACCCCCAAATTAATAAAAATAGGTCAACATCTTGACATATAATGGTGAAACTTGCAAATCTCAGAGACAAGGAGAAAATCCTGAAAGCAGCTTGGGACAAGAGGTCCATAACCTACAAGAGTAGAAACATTAGAGTGGCAGCAGACCTATCCACAGAGACCTGGCAGGCCAGAAAGGACTGGCATGATGTATTCAGGGTGCTAAAGAGAAAAATACACAATCAATGTTACTTTATCCATCAAGGCTGTCATTCAGAATAGAAAGAAAGATAAAAAAACTTCCAGGACAAACAGAAACTAAAAGAATTTGTGATCGCTAAACCAGCCCTGCAAGGGCAGCCCTGCAGCCCTGCAAATATTAAAGGGGATCCTTTAAGTGGAGAGCCTAAAAGTAACATAGACCAGAAAGGAACAGAGACAATTTACAGGAACAGTGACTTTACAGGTAATACAGTGGCACTAAATTCATATCTTTAAATAGTTACTCTGAATGTAAATGGGTTAATGCCCCAATCAAAAGGCACAGGGTATCAGATTAGATAAAAAAAAGTAAGAACCATCGATAATGCTGTCTGCAAGAGACTCATTTTAGACCCAAAGACACCTCCAGATTGAAAGTGAGGGGGTGGAAAGCCATTTATCATGCTAATGGATGTGAAAAGAAAGCTAGGGTAACAATCCTTATATCAGACAAATTAGATTTTAAACCAAAGACTATAATAGGAGATGAAGAAAGACACTGTATCAGAATTAAAGGGTCTATCCAACAAGAAGATCTAACAATTATAAATATTTATGCCCCTAACATGGGAGCAGCCAATTATATAAACCAGTTTGTAACAAAATTAAAGAAACACGTTGATAATAATACAGTAATAGTAGGGGACTTCAATACCCCACTCACAGCAGTGGACAGATCATCTAAGCAGAAGTTCAACAAGGAAACAAGGGCTTTGAATGGCACACTGAACCAGATTGACTTCACAGATGTATTCAGAGCATTCCGTCCTAAAGGAGCAGAATACACATTCTTCTCGAGTGCATATGGAACGTTCTCCAGAATAGTTCACATACTGGGTCACAAATCAGGTCTCAACTGGTACCAAAAGCTTGGGATCATTCCCTGCATATTTTTAGACCACAATGCTTTGAAACTTGAACTCAATCACAAGAGGAAATTTGGAAAGAACTCAAATACATGGAAGCTAGAGAGCATCCTACTAAAGAATGAATGGGTCAACCAGGAAATTAAGGAATTAAATTCATGGAAACAAATGAAAATGAAAACACAACTGTTCAAAACTTTTGGGATGCAGCAAAGGTGGTCCTAAGAGGGAAGTACATACCAGTACAAGCCTTTCTCAGGAAACAACATAGGGCTCAAATATACAACCTAACCTTACACTTAAAGGAGCTGGAGAATAGCAAATAAAGCCTAAACCCAGTAAAAGAGAAATAATAAAGATCAGAGCAGAAATCAATGAAATAGAAACCAAGAGAACAATAGAACAGATCAGCAAAAGTAGGAGCGAGTTCTTTGAAAGAATTAATAAGGTTGATAAGCCCCTGGCCAGACATATCAAAAAGAAAAGAGAAAGGACTCAAATAAATAAATCATGAATGAAGGAGGAGAGATCACAGCCAACACCAAGGAAACAAAAACAACTTTAAGAGCATATTATGAGCAAGTATATGTCAGCAAATTAGGAATCTGGAAGAAATGGATGCATTCCTGGAGACCTATAAACTACCAAAATTGAAACAGGAAGAAACAGAAAACAAAACCTGAAGAGACCCGTAACCAGTAAGGAAATCGAATCAGTAATCAGAAATCTCCCAACAAACAAGAGTCCAGGGCCAGATGCCTTCCCTGGGGGAATTCTACCAAACATTTAAAAAAGAATTAGTATCTATTCTTCTGGAGCTGTTTCAAAAAATAGAAATGGAAGGGAAACTTCCAAACTCCTTCTGTGACATTACCTTGATCCCAAAACCAGACAAAGACCCCACCAAAAAGGAGAATTACAGACCAATATCCTTGATGAACA